GGGCAGAGGAGTGGGTAGTGTTCATCTGGATTGGTTTTCTGAAGTGGTAGTACACAAGACAGGGAATGGTGTCAGAGTGGTGCTGCCTCTGGAAGGAGGATAGGATGACTTCTGTTGACTACCATTGATATAAAATAATCAAGGAACTAGAGCATTATTCAGTGAAAGGATTTTTTTGTATCCTGCTTTGATGAAAGAAAGGCTGCTGTTCAAGATGGTTATTAGTCTGCTTTGGTGCCTGGAAATCTGATCCTACATTACAGTTGCTCTGTTTGGATTCGGATAGTTCCCCATCTCTTGATAATTTTTGCTCTTGTTTGTTTGTTTGTTTTTATTAATATATGTAGATTCTTCCGGTTTGTGATACCTGGGAGGATACTGTTTGGGCATATTTCAGGGTCATGGTGGACACTCTTGTTGAGCAGGAAATACGAACCTCAGTAGTAACTGCAGAGGAGATGGAAGAGCTCCCAAGAGATTATTTAGAAACAAAGTAAGTTTTAAGTAAAACTATGCCCCTGTACTCAACAAAGCATCCTCCAGGATCTGTTTGGAATATTCAAGGTAACATTTTGTGCCTTTTCTCTCCTTCTTGGAAGCTGGACTTCGGAAAAAGTTTTTGAAGAACTTCAGGCAACAGACAAAAAGGTATATATTAATTACACTGTTTCTCCTCACTGTTTACCATTTTTAACTGTTCACTAGGTTCTGCTTTTACTACCCTATTTAAAGAAATGCTCAAATATGCACAGTGACTGATTTATTGTAGGTTTTCTGCCTCTGTAATATGTAATTTTGTAATTCAAATAGATTTTTCTATATGCTGCCGCCTTTTAATGATGAAAAATAAACAGGTTTTCTCTTGCCTCATATCTGCCAAACTAGTTGGGTGTGCTAAAGGAAGAGCTGGCTGTCAAGTGTCGTCAGACATACAAAGCAGACAGAGTCAATCACCTATTTAACACTTTGATAAAATGCACAAAGATTGATTACATGCCATTTTCATTATAGGAAGTTTCAGTTTTCTTTGTAGGAGGTTTGCGCGCATATTTCAAAACAGGCCTTTCAAAACTTAAAAGCATTTTTGCTTAAACAGACTGTGTTTCTTTGTTTTAACATTCAGGGTATTTACTTCTTTAAGGTGGAATATATAACTTATATGTTAATTTTGTAAAGATTAAATTGAAACTACACTTACTTTTATGTGATAGAATAGACATACAGCGTTTATCCCATGGCTAAGACAAAGACATGTTGAAAGATAGCTTACAGATTGGTGCAGTCAGCCACAGGTACACTCAGCTGCCTTTGCCTTTCTAGTGCGATCCTCACCATATAGCAACTTTGCAGGTGCATTTGAATTGTATTTCAGGCATTAATTCCTCTACCAAAAAAAAAAAAAATCTCTTCCTCAAGTGTCACATGCCTTTTCTTTAAGGATTTATATCCATGACTTTGTAGAATCTGTTCTGTGTAACATTGTTATTTATTCTCCTCTTCAGGGCAAGAAGCCCTTAGTCTTGGATCCCTTCCATGAGAGTATTAACTCCACAGATCTATATTCCGGTTCTTTCTTTCAGTTTGTCAATATTCTTGTAACCTGACATTGAGATAGCAAGTGCCTTTTCTCCTGCTCTTTGTGTGGAATACCCTTTGAAATAGGAAAGCTTTTTTTCCTAAGGAGCCTTTGCTTTATTTATAAGTTTGCTTTCTTTATACATTATGCTATAAGATTTTATTCAAAGTTTGAACTTTCTTCTTCTCTCCCCAGAGAGTTATAGAGGAGAATCAAGAACACTATCATGTGATTCAGAAATTCATTATACTGGGAGATGTGGATGGTGAGCTTTTCTCCAAGTGATTTTTAAATGTCAACTGACTACATTATTTCTAGTGACCTTTCCAGAAACTTACATGTGAATGGATTTTAGAAGCACACAGGAGGCAAACTCCACCTAAAAGCTAAGCTGCTGCTTTAATCGAGAACTGCAGGGACTTTCTGCAGTTTAGCATAGAAGGTAGTTTGCAAAGAAGTCATGAAATCATCTAAATGTGTCAGAATATACGTGAGGCTTTTGCTATAACTTTATCTGAGAAATTACAAAATATATACAGCAGATATTTAAGACAAACAGCTACATCTTTCCAAAACTGTTGATGTTCTGTTTTGTTGGGCTTTTGAGGCCAAATAACATTTGTTGAATAAATGCATAATTTTGAAACATTTCTTAGGTGTTTTTTGCCCGTAATACGGCTAACACCAACATTTCCTTGGTGGCTATAGGTTTGATGGAAGAATTCAGCAGATGGCTTTCCAAAGACAGAAGCGTGCTCCCGGGACACCTCCTTCGTTTCATGACACATCTTATTCTGTTCTTCCGCACTTTGGGACTGCAGACTAACGTAAGTTCACTTGTATTTGATTTATTGTCATAGCAATAGCTAGTCTGTGAAGTAGAAATGCTTGTGTGTAAATATATAAACTACAGACAATGATGGTAAGTTACCACCAGGCTGGTGAGGAGCTGCATGCTTAAATAGTGCATTTGTTGATCTTACAGCCTAAATGCAACAGACAAAATTAGAAAACAGCATCCTTCTCCCCTCCAGTTCAGCTTGAAAATTATTTTTTGAGAATGATTGGTTCTACTCATAAGCTCTTTATTGAGAAGGACCTGACTCAAACTTCAAAATTAGGCGTATTCATAGCAGCCGAGATGCTTTGAATATAACCTGATCTTACACACGGTCCTTGGAATTGTACCTATTGCTGTAAGCTCATAAATGGTTTTGCTTGAGGTAATTGGTACTAGCCGAAACCTCCAGATTTCCTCAAAATACATACTATAGCCTACTAGTTTCCTAGCCCTTTCATGCTAAATGTGCAGGTGGGTCACATAGCCGCACTTACTCTTTTCTGAGGCAATCACAAGTAATTAGAAGCTCTCAGTTTCTACTATTTTAAAATTTAGAAGTGCTTATGTATCAAATAAGTTTGTGAATCTAACCTATTTTGGCAAAAGACAAATGTGTGTTTTCATTAGATGATTTAAATACAGTTCTGATATATTTTTCATGCCTCTAATTGCTTCATTCTCGTGTTGAAATTTATTTTGAAGTCAGTTAATTTAGCTGATTAAGAGGAACTTGTAGGTGTGTGCGTACAAACACATTTTTTGGCTAGACTTAAAATTTAATAGAGTAGATCTTTAAGCTAAAGTATGGTAGAACTAGTCGTTAGCGTATGTTTAACAGAGGGGACAAAAAAGGTGTAATTTCCTGCACGAATTCCATTGTGGGATTGTGAGTAACTGTTGATTACTGCCTCTACAATTTTGGAGTAGGTGAATTTACTGGAAGGTTACTTGATCAACCCTCAGTAGACCTCAGAGGGAAGAGGCAGTTGTGCAAGCTTTTATGATGTTCTTTATTTGAATTCGTGTAGGTATACACTTAGATGAAGATCTCTAATTTCATTTACACATATAAAACTAAAATGATACTTCTTCACAGTAACAAACACTTGAGACTTAGCTGAGGCAGTCTCAGGTGCTCAGACTATGCTTTGGTTGTTTAGTATAGGCTATAACAGATGAGCCGGGTGATATTTATACCCTGTATGCAGGAACATCAGCATTTTCTATAATACAACAGTGCATGTAGCACACTGCAATAGTCATCTGTTCATCTGAGATTTTATTTATTAATTTAAAAAATATGGTAAAATGGGAAGATTTGAAAAACAATTGTAGCTTTCCAGTTAGACCAAAAACTGTTATCCAGTTGCTGAAAAAGAAAGTTCTTGGACCACTAAATCTTTGAATCAGAAGACTTATTTTTTTAATCATTCTCTGAGAGAAACAGTTCTTCCAGCTGAGCCTGTTTGAACGTGTAGTTTACTGAAGCAGGGATAAGCAAATAACCTGTGTCTGTGTAATAGTGGCAGCCTGTAAAGTATCTTTTTTTCTTTGAGGTATTTTTGGCCACATTATCTGATTTAAAATTGAATTTATGTTTGTTTGCAACAAGGGGGAAGTTTCTGTTGAAGTCCTGAAGACCTACATTCAGGTAAGCTTTCAAAAACATAGTTTGCTTTGTCTGATGTAATTTAGACGTAAAGGAGGAAAAAAGGAGACTTAAGGTTACAGGATGGAAAGAGCTATGACGCAGTTAATACTCTCTTCTCAAGAGATACATGGAAGCTTGCCTAATACGCAGAGTTGCTGTCAGCAGTGCTTAAATAAGAGACAGTTTTATTGATCCTTGTTTAGAAGCTGAGAAGTGGAATCTTCCTATAGCAAAACAAAATAATCAGAAATTTGTTTCACATTTATGTTTTTACATAAAAAAATATTTTTACATAACTGTGTTTACAGAGGAATATAATGTGGTTTTCTAAATATTTGCTTCTCATTCTGCAGCGGATGATATCTGAGAAGCACATAGATTTAATAGCATTTTACGTTAGCCACTTGCCCCCAGAGCTAGCTGTTGTTCAGTATGCTTTATTTCTCGAAGATGTCACTGAAAGTGATCAACGCCACCACTGCCTTGAATTAGCAAAAGATGCAGGTGAGATATGCTGATATTCAAATTATCATTTTATATCCTGAGTTATTTTGTCTTTCAGTAGTTTTTAATGCAAGACCTAGCTATGAAGATGATATTGTTTCCTTCCTGTGTCTCTTTGTTTTTCAATTAAATAAAATGAATTTACTGATCACTTCTTCAAGTAGGTATATTGTGGGTTTTAACTAACATAGAATTGCAATTCTTTTTCTGAATTAAACTAAATACCACTTTTGCTTCTGGATTATGTCCAAACACAGCAGCAAGTAAATGCCAGCTGCCTGTCTCAAATACATGCTCTGAAGCTTGTCATGATTGTATTATTTCAGAAAACTAATTATAGAAATACGTACCTGTTTGTGTATTTCAGGAGGTTATGAGTGTCTTAATTTTTTTGTCCTGTTTATAGTGCTCTTTCTTAGCTGTGATGGGTTGCTTGCATTAATTGTAAGCTTCCTTCTAGGCCTATACATCAAACTAAAAGAGACTACAGTGAAGCAGCACAGTGTCCATTGTTTGACAATGCCTCTGTGCCACTGAACATTCACAAAGAAATAGAGTTACTGCAGACTTCAGTGTTTGACTTTTCTTCAATCATTTTTTTAGTCTTTTTCTTTTAAAAACTTGGCTAAGGTTTCAAAAATAAAATGTCCTACTTCAGCATCTGTAGAAGAACTATTCTGAGCTTTTCCATGTACATTTCTGTCACATGATAGTCTTGATGACAGAATTGTTGGAATCAGTGGTCTTAGCAAGTATATCTGTATGCTGGTCCCCAGCACAGACTGAAAAACATGTTAATTGTCTTAGTATTTTTCCCATGTTTGATATTCTCGGTTATCTCAAATATCATTCTTCTAAAATACTGCAATAAATTACGTATCTCAAAAGCTTATACTTTAGTCTGACAATGTGAGTGTGAACAGTCTGATAAGAATTACTAGTAGTAAAGAATACAATCATCAACTGGAGTCTGAAATTCATTTTGTGGCAAGTTGGAATTCATGATCGCTCTTACGTGTTTCTCTCTTAACCCAGGTCTGGATGTTGCAACCATAACAAAAACTGTTGTTGAAAACATCCGCAAGAAGGATGCTGGTGAATTCAGTCACCATGACCACGTGTTGGATACAGGCACAACGGAGGTGAGTGTATTTGGTAGGGCAGATATTCTAGTTTGCAATCAACTGCTGAGTCTTTTATCATGCGTGATCCATGTTTCTTTTTCAATGATGGTGGAAATTGCCTTGAAAAAGCCTCTGAGGGAAATGCACTTTCCATGTGACCAAGTGTGAGAAGTTGAATTGCACGAATTCATAACTTCTGTTTCTGCATCTCTTTGATCTTCTGGGCTGTGGTGTAAGTTGCTCAGCAGTATGTCTGGATGCAAATGATAAGTGAGGATAAAGCCTGTGAAATTACTATAACAAAATATGTTGTAGCTGAGAGTAAGATGTTATTGTAGCTTCTAAGAATTATCAGGATTAATACTTTGGATCTCAGATGTACGTTATTGCGTGTTCAAGTGACATATTCCAGCTACGACAGACATTGCCTTTACTGACAGTTGCCTTGTAATCACTTTTGTCGGTTGAATCCAACTCAGTACTTCAGTGACAGTGAGGTACTGCTAAGAGCTTGCATTCAAAGTACTGTTTAGAAAGCAAATGATAGTTCACAGACTTGTGCCAATTTTTTTGCTGTTCAGTACAAAGTTGAAATTCTCTCAGCCAAATAGGTAGTTTATGTCACGCAAGAGTTGGAAAACTGTGGTTGCAGGCTGATGGCGCCCCTGAAGATTGTAGCAAGGGCCCCATAAACCATGTTTGTACAGTGTATTCATATTAAAGTTTGAGGAAGATGTGTGGTAATCTATAAAAATTTTTGAGAGCTGATGCTCATCCATTGTTCTGAATGTCTTGGGAATACCTAGAAATGGATTTTTGAATTATTCTAGATTGCAGGGATTGTTTTCTAAGCTGTTGATACCGAAGTTGTGAATAAAGCGATCTTTGTTAGTATGTCATAGTGCTATCCAAAGATCTCTAGAAACTTAGGTGTTTCCTTGACCAAACTTAACGCGTCCGACATAGATTCATAGATTCATAGATTTCTAGGTTGGAAAAGACCTTAGAGATCATCGAGTCCAACCATCCCTAATCCCCATTAAACCATATCCTCAAGTAGCTCATCCACCCTATTCTTAAACACATCCAGGGATGGGGACTCAACCACTTCCCTGGGCAGCCTTGACATGACAGACATGAGCTGTAAGCTCGAAATGTCAGTGAATCTGTTGTTGGTTTTTACAGGCGGATCGGCTGAAAATAGATGTAATCGACTGGCTCGTATTTGATCCTGCACAGAGGGCCGAAGCGCTTAAGCAAAGCAATGCAATCATGAGGAAGTTCTTGGGTACTAAACTCCACAAATATTGTACACTTTTCAAATGTTGTTTTTGTTCTCATTGCCTCTTGGCGCTACATTGGATATAACTTTGAATCTATTTCGTTAAAAAGCGTGGGTTTGTCGGTTAATGAAAATGAAGAATGGAAATTGCAAAGCTCTTGATACTCAGTTCACATTCTTGTAGCATCCAAGAAACATGAAGCTGCAAAAGATGTGTTTGTGAAGATTCCCCAAGACTCTATAGCAGAAATATATAACCAATGGGAAGAACAGGGAATGGATACTCCACTTCCAGCTGAAGATGACAATGCTATACGGGAACATTTATGTATTCGGGCATATTTGGTGAGTTTCAGATACGCTGTATTCCAAGTTATTACTTAGAAGTAATAGTGGCTTGGCTTTGGTGGTGAAACTTTAAGCTTTGTCCATTTGATTTAACTTCTGATTCCTCGATGCACTGTAGCTGTGTGTTTAATAACATTCTTGTAATTATGTGAGTCAAAAATGTCCAAACACTGTTTCCAATGCAATCCAGGAAGCCCACGACACCTTTAATGAATGGTTTAAACACATGAACTCGGCTCCACAGAAGCCTTCTTTGTTGCCACAAGCAAGTTTCACTGAGAAGGTGGCCCATGAACATAAAGAAAAGAAGTATGAGGTAGGTAAAAAAAGTTCAAGTTATTTACTATAAACCTGTGTGTTGTTGCTTAGGAGGTAGTCTTATTTTAATGAAACAGAGTAGAAGACTACTAATTCATATTACCTAAGAATTCTATTATAAATAACTCTATTTTTATGTTGAGGGAGCAGGAGACAGTAGAATAGCAATGCCACTGCACAATAAATTATGAGTTTGTTTTTTTTTAATATGACTCAGCTCTACATATAATATTGTAATGTAACAGTAAATATTCATTGTAATGTGTTGGTTGTCAGCGTTATTAATAAATTTGAGTACTTGATTTTGCTGTTACCTCTTTTTTTAATCTTCTATTTGTCACATTTTCTTCTCTAAAAGATGCTGCAGTTCTGTTTGTTTTGCCAAAAGTTCTTTTTGCATGTCTGGCTGATATGATTATACACTATATTCAGTTTATACAACTATTTGTTTTACAAACATGGCAGAATAAGTTGTTTAAAATTATCTTCCTCTATTGGCTTTCCTTCTGAACAACCTGTCTGACTCTCTGGACAGGGAATTAAGCAAGGATGGAAATAGGTGTTAGCAGCAGGCTTACAGGCTTTGGCAATTGGCTAAAGATCCTGATTTGAATTAGGGCTGCGCTGGCTGTTCCACACTAGGTGAAGAGCCCATGTTAAAACAGCCTTGGAAATTACCCTGTTCTGCAGTAGTTTGTGTTTTGTTTCTTTGCCAGATGGACTATGGTATTTGGAAGGGCCTCTTGGATGCTCTTACAGCTGACGTGAAAGAGAAAATGTACAATGTGTTGCTGTTTGTCGATGGAGGATGGATGGTTGACGTCAGAGAGGTAAATTAATTTTTATATCATGGCGTAGACCACAAAGCCTGGATTGTACCCAGTTGTGCCTTTCATCTTCTTTAGTTTGATGTGCTTCTGTTTACTCTTGTTATAATTTACTCTGGCCTTGCTGTGACTGGTTACAGATTGCTTCCCCTTCAGTTACCATATGAATCGGATCGGGCAGTCCAGTCTAGGCTGGTTCGTCCAGTTTTTTGCCTCTGACATTACTAATTATGTAGTTATACTAAGTTACCTTTAAAGGTAGATGTTTATAATTCTAATATTTTATTTTGCTATGGTAAGGATGCCGAGGATGACCCTGAACGAACACACCAGATGATTTTGCTGCGAAAGCTTTGTCTGCCAATGATGTGCTTTTTACTGCACACGGTGCTACATAGCACTGGACAGTATCAGGAGTGCCTACGACTGGCTGACATGGTTGCTTCTGAGCGACACAAGCTTTATACGGTGAGTTCTTGAGAGCTGCAGACCGCTTAGCTTCCATTTAAAAGCTCTGTGGGTTGACTGTGTGAAAAGCTTCTGTATAGAGAGGAAGATGCCATATGTTCCTTAACATCATCAGTTTCTTCATCTCTTCCAATTCACTGCAGTAGTAAAGGGTTTCCTTGTATGCTGACTTAAGGAATTAAAGAGTTAACTTTGAAACACTGAAGATGATGCCCATGTTTTGACAAGCACATTTTCTGAGTATTGCAGTAACTAATTTTTGGATGGGGGCTATTGAATTCAGTTGAACTGTAGAATTGTAATTGATTTTTTTTTTTTTTTTTTAATTTCCATTACATTTCAGAACATTGTATAAGCAAGTTTTGTTTTGGAGCACTTGGTTTACCTAACCTTCTCTCCCTCCAAAAGCCTGAAAAACAACCTCAAAAAACTTTATCACTTTAAAAAAAAAAAAAATTGAACCACAACACTCCTTCCCCCCCAAAAAAAACCAAACCAAACCAAAAAAAAATACCACCACACCAACCAAAGATTAGAAATCTGAGAAACATCAAGGCTAAGAAAAATACTGTGGTGCATTCACCTCGATTGGCTTAAGATCTCTGCCAGCAATAACAGGGAAATTAAATTTGGCTGTTTCCCAATAGTCTTTGTAGTAGTTACGAGACAAAGCTACCTTAAGACTACCCTCAGGTTTTGGATACTGATACTAGCTTCTAGTCCTTTACTAAATGCCATTCTGAAATGTCTGGTGTTTTTTACACTGTCTTGAAAAGAAAAAAGGAGGAAAAAATTTAGTAACTTAATTAACCACCATTGACTTGTATATCTGTGCTATTCATTGCAAATATCAACAAATACAACTTCATTATGTCTTTTTTTATTCGTAGGTATTTTCAAAAGAAGAACTCCGAAAGCTTTTACAGAAGCTGAGGGAATCTTCTCTGATGCTTCTGGACCAGGATCTTGATCCTTTGGGATATGAAATTCAGTCATAGGATTTCATGTTGATACTTGGAAGAACTTCTGAACATGGACATTCTGGTTATATAAAAAAAGAATAAAACCATGACTCAGTTAAACCGTTCTGCTCTTTGGGGGGGAAAAAACCCTAACCCTCAGATTTCAATTTCAACTTGAAAAATTCTGACCAACTTCAGAGAGGATATTTGTTATACAGCCTTTTTCATTTTTTTTTCCTAATAAAAGTGTTTCACAAACAGAAAATGTTTGTTCATTCTAATATAAAATGTAATTGTATACAGAGATCACATGAACTTCCTTAATCTCTTTGCCGCATGCCAAAGAGCTGCCTGTAGACTGGAAACATTACTCGGCAGAAGAAGGATGTGCAAGGGTGCAGCGGAGAGGAAAGTGAGACTGCAGGAGGATGCATGTGGAAAGCAGGGGAGAAGGCAGGAGACACAGGGGGCTGGAGGAAAGGAACGTCAAAGGAAGAGGGAAAGTGAAGAGCTACCACCAGCCCTTCAGAAGAGAAGGGCTTGCTTCAGGGCTTGTACCGTTCTCATGTACATTGGGTAGTTGCTAAAATGCTGATGTAATCCTGAACTGGAAGAAGGACGATCCCACCTTGAAACTTCAAAGTTTGAGATTTTATCATTTATTTAGAAACCCCGGTCTGGCCATGTTTGCATGCGAAAACACAGGTTCAGCTGCTTTTCCCTTAACCAGAGCATGCACTGGACAGAGTTGGCGTGCAGTTGAGCAAAGGCTTCAGCTCCTTCACCCAGTCTGTGTCTTCTGACGCTTGACAAAGAACGGAATTTGTGTTCTGCCTGCATGTGCGTATATTGTTACGTGTGTGTGTATAGAAATACCCAGCCCGGTCGTCGAGAGGTACTCGTGCCTTGGAAAGAAGGTGTGTTCCTGCCCATCTCTTGGACAGCAGGGCGGGAGGTGGGGATGTGCCTCCGGGAGAGGGGCCGAGGACACGTCCATGCCCCTTCCCGGGGGTGTCCTTGGAGCCGCAGGGCG